AAAACTATACTAATATTCATCTGTAAAGAGAAGCTGCTATAACTAAATATTACGAAACATCATTGGCAATACTTTTGCAATAGTGCGAAATTGTTCTTACATATACATACATATATACACATATATGTATATATTACGTATTATTATAAATTAAATGTTATCTGTGAAACATCTGTAATTACGTTGTAGCATTCGGAATATAATTGCAGCATTTTGTAATCACAGCTCTAATATGGAATATATAATACTAAATTCTATCAGCAACTGACACGCTTCACTGCAAAATAAATTGTAGTCTCACATGTTCCTAAAAGTCTCTGGGTAAAACTTGCAAGTATAAATGCTAGAAAAGAAATTGCATTTCATTTACATGCTAAATTTATTGTGTCAGGGAATATTTGGTGAATACATTAGAGAGCTATTTTTTCGTGCCATGGGCAACATATTCGTATAAGATATACATACTAAAGTTGTGTATATGTTCATATCAAAAGCCATCTTTGGTAAACAGTTTTTGCAATAGAACTCAAAAATTGCTAGGCGATTAATGAAATATTTGAATAAAGTGGCATTTACTTGAACCTCCCTGTACCTATAGTGAGAATAGTTCTGTTGTGGGTTCTGATTTGAGCATATTTGCTTTGCTTAATGTACTTGGCGCCGTCCGATTCCTGTGCCAAGCAAAGCGTTCGATTAAAGCAAAGCAAAACAAAGCGAGGCAAAGCTGAGTGAAGCGCGTGTCTGTCCAGCGAGAGACAGCTGGTTTTATATTTTGATAAACACCTTTTAAATATGACAGCCCCAAAGTCTTTGCCTGTCTTTCTATGCACACCAATAAATATAAACGAATGTTTCTAATTGTTGCTGCTGAAAGTCTCCCCACACGGAAGTAAATGTTGCAAATCTATGCTAAATTAGCATATTTTACATACACATCCGAGTCGTGATCTATGCTAATTGCCAAAGTCTGCCCGATGTTCCCCATTGCGAATACTACATGCAATACACATATGTATGTATGTAGTAGTGCGACACACAAAAGCTTTTGACTCATATCGAGAATTTCGTATTTCGCTTCGAGCGTTGCTTTACAGCTGACCGAGTGAAACAAAACACATACCTGTTTATGGGTTGCGAAAGTTCAATATGTTTAATTATAATCTGAGCAATTAAAGCGCTCTCGAAAGTGAACAAAGAGTATATGTGTATTGTGCAATGTTTCTCTTGCTGAGGACATGGAGTTTTAAATTGTTTCAGATGACTTGGATGCATCTTTTACAGTTTTATGACTAGCAGCAGCATTTTTAAAGAACCTTGATGTAGAGCTCTCCTATATCTTGACTAATATCATATGTATAAACAGCTACTAAATGTATTGCTAATTCTCTTTTTACCTTCTCAACAAAAAAGCTTACATATTATATGATTGAAAATATAAATTTTCCTATTTCAAAACTGAAAATATCCTATTGAAAAAAAATTGTTTTTTTGTGAGCAAGTATTGAGCCGTTGGTAAGGCCCGATTACAGCTAGTTTTCATTTCATTTATAATCACTAGAAAGTTTAATTTCTGTTAATGTCTGACTCGAAACTTGAATTTGGATTTAGTTAATAATTACTAAATATTCATATAAACCAAATTTATATTTATTTTATACCTATATCAGGCAGAGATTTAAATGCGTTTTTAATTATGCACTGATAGCTTTTTAATATTCACTTGAAATAAATAAATAAACAGACATTTAAGGTAGAAAATGTGCATTGAGTCAGTGGCAGATGCATTCATAAATAAAACAGCTAAATATTTCTATAAAAATGCACATAAATCTAAAAGTTTATGGAAATGGGAGATGGAATCTTGCTTTAAGTGGATTTTGATTGACACGATTGGATAGATGGAAAAATGTATTCAATAACAATCAATAGTGCTCTAGCCGGAAGTAATCGACTAGAAGATTCAATATTCGCATAATCGTTCAGAAAAATGAAATGAGTATATTGGTTTTATGCCCGTCCAACTGTATATATAGTTAATAATTTCATGGAAATCAAAGAATATTTATTGTAGAGAATTTAGACATTAAATAATTTTTGAGAAAATAGCTACGTGAGAGATATCAAGTATCTCGTCCGCATACATTGAATACATGTACGAACGATTCAGCATAATAATTTATATTACATACATATATATATATATTATCTGGCCTCGACCGTGTCACTTTCAAATATGAGAAAGCGGTATATTTTTTATATAAAGATTATACCTTTTCTATCCATTGTCAGCGGGTTCAGTTTTTATAAATTAGATCATTTTCAAGGGCTCCTTTCAATGATATGCACTAGGTTATATTCGAAATTCGATTTTTATCTGATATATGTACTTAGAAATTCGAATTAGAAACTCGAAACAGCAAACATATAAATTATATAAAAGAAATGAACATAATTTTATAATAATTAGATACCAAATATAATCAAAATCATTAAAAAAGCCAATTCATCATTACATTGTACCTATTGTGCTGATCACGTTTTTATCCGTTAACTTTGTGGTATATAGACAATTATTCATATACAGATATATTTATTTTAGATATTTAAATAGATATGTATATAAATCGAGATTCGATCAGAGTTCAACAAAGAAATGAGAGAGAGGAATTATGGACCTCACTTTGTTATTGACGCTTTGGCATAGAGGCTAAGAGTCGAAGGCTAAATCCAGCGAAACCAACAAATCCAGTCATAAATCACAACAATCGGCGTTAATTGATTACTAATAAGTAAAAGCAAGCGAAGCACATATAATTAGCTCTAAAGAAGAGTTCGTTTTAGGTATTCATTTTTTTATTTTATTTTAATTTTTTTTTTAAGCAGCAAAGATTATATTTTTGTTAATTGCGTATGATTAATACTTTTTCGCTTATAGCTGATTACAGTCAGCGAGACTTCAGGGCCATTACGTGTTTTAGCACTTTGAGAAATTAAGCAAACAAAGCGTAGCACTCACGTGCTAAATGGAAATTTAAGATGATACAGAACAGAGAAGTTGACCTAGGCAACGGAAGTAATAGGTTAAATGAAACTCCAGAGTGACGAGAGAGTGGATTGTCCCTTGTTAGGTGATGTTCCATGATTTCAATGATATTCTATTCATACGTACACGTACACAAACAACACTCTCTCTCACACATAAACATCACAGCCCACCTAATGCATTTGCAATGCTTGCTCCTGCTACAGTGCCCCCAGCAAGGGTAACTCAATTATTAAATAACTACGGTTCTCGTTGTACGATGTGAATTAAATTTTCAAAGCACGAATATGACATCCAAATAGTTGCTAAGTGATAAGCCAAAGCTAAACTTTCTTCTCTTTGATGTGGCTAGACAAAACGTTTAACGAGTTGAATTTCAGAAATCAAATAAAAAATTGAAGTCGGCTTTTTTACAAATTTGCGGTGAATTATAAATTAAAATTCTTATCATATACAAAGAGTATACGTAATAACCATCAGCGGGTGTAATCTCTATAACGTAGTTTGCCAATGCAATTCATCGATTCGAAACGGTTTTATGAGCCGCACATATCTCTAAGAGGGCGGCGCACCTTATACATACATACATATATATCAATAGCGAGGAAGTGCGACTCAAGGGCGCAACAGGGCGCCGTATAAGAGATTTCGCACACGCAAAAGCACACGCATTCACACACGCGTGCATGTGTGCAGAAGTAAAGGTATGCGTAAACAGTAAAAGCAAAAACCTAAAAGATTGCAATAAAAATAAAAAGAAACCTCAACGCACTTCTTGCACGCATATATGTACATACATACAAACGCATCTGTATGTATGTACATACATATATAAATGTATGGGCTTGCGTGTGACTGTATATGTTTACATAGATGCATCTGTATGCGTATATGCCTTTGCACTCTGCAGATGGAATGTGGGCAATGACAACAGCGCAAATGCATTTAACACGTTACAAAGCTTCCTTTGTGAACCAAGCAACAACAACAGCAACAACAGCAACAGTAGCTGCAACAAGAAAAACTAAGTACACAGTACACAGTGTCCCAAGCGGTAAACCGCAATTTGTAAATGGTAAGCCCAAAAAGTAACTTTCGCTTTCTGGCTTGGCTTGTGCTGCCTTTGTCCTAGTTGCATTTTGGGTTAAATTGATTTGCCATTTGCTCAACACTCACAATTGCCATTAATTTTGTTTATCCGCTTGTATTTCTGACTTTGCTGCACTCGCGCTTCTTATTATCAAAATAAAGGCGGCGGCGACAACGGCGACGGCGATGGCGACGACAACGGCGCGAACTTTGGAAGCGACAAGAGCGAAGCGAATGCGTCCAAACTTGGCGGCAATACGGAAACAACTGAACGAAGCGCAGCGAAGTCGTGAATGGTTCACGTTCGTGAACGTTATTTGGCTGTACGTGTGCATGTGTTGGTGTGTGAGTCGTGGTTGCCTGTGCACATCTGTACGTGCGATTGTGTGTGTTTGTATAAAGGGGCATAGCTCGTCGTTTGTTTACTTTACTCAATATCCAGCAATTTATTTAAATTTGCCGGTTTTAGGTTGCCATGCATCAAATTAAGTCTTATCAACAAATTGCTATGGGTCGCAATCAGTATCTATGCTTTCACATATTTAAGTTTTTATTTTATATTCAGTTCATCAGCTGATTTTCGTGCAACAAGTATTATGCAAATAACGTATTGTATGTATTAAAATTTTGCGCCGATATGCCGATAACATATTCGATATGCATGCTGCAAACGGCTTGAACGTGCACAAGCCACCGCGCTGTTATCGGATATATCGATTACCCAATGCGCTATTGTGACTTAATATAATAAAGCGACTTATTCAAATTATTTTGATTTAACCAAATGACAACTGCCACTGAGAAGTATTTTATGCCCAAGTTTAATCCATGTTATCCCATTTCCAGTTTTTAAGGTCTTTTCAAGCTGGTCGTCACAAAACTTTATTAGTTTAATTCGCTTTAGCGAATCTTCTTTACATCCATCCACCAAGTGGAGACTTCCAATAGCTATGTATTTAATATGCCTAAAATCTACATAATACGTATGTACAAAATAATATCTAGAATACATAAAAAAAATCTCAGACATCTGCTCGGCGCGTTTCTTGACTAGGGACTGTGGAAGGAACTGCAACTACATACAATTCGCATAGCCTATGCATATAGCTACTATGATATCTGGCAGCATTGCGCCTTTCTTGCCATGCTCTGGCCCTCCCAATGAGTCTGCAAATATAGATAGATGAGAGATGAGTGAGTAAGGCGAAAAGCTCTACGGGATTAAAAGAGAAAGAGAGTGCTTAGTGGTTACAAACCGTAACTGTATAAAGAAAGAGCTCGATTAATTAAAATCAAATATAAGAAAAAAACATTATAAAAAATAATCAAAATTAATTTATTTGACATATTCTATAAATGTAAAGCCACCGAAAAACTATTGCACAAACTATTATAAAGCAAATTCAACTAAATTCAACTACAGATGAGGTGTCTGTGATTGTTGCTGTATAAAATAGAAATAGAAAAGAAAAGTAAAAGATAAGCAAAATTGAATTCATGGTTTAGAAAAGTTAAATGTTAAAATGATAAGAATTTAATAGTAATTATTTTAGATCTGTAGAAATCTCTGAAAAAGAAGCTACTTTAAAACTGAATTGAAATTAAATTTTAATGTTTTTCTATTTTCAATTATTTTGAATAATTTATTTAATAATTTTAATTTTAAATTATCTTGCTTTGTTTGAATGGATTACGTAGCTTTTTATTGGTATTTATAAATTTTTTTTCTCAAATTTAACTGAATTTAAGAAACAATTTCACTTGTTTAAAATAGAGAGTATATTGAAATACCCTGATCGCTGATATATCTCGCTCTATTTTTCAGTTTTACATGGTGTTATTACGAAGCATATGTGTTATTGGTTGTGTTTCTATAGTTTCTCAATTTGTCTAAAAAAAAAAAGAACAAAATCAACTCAAGCCAGATTAGATTGAGTGTTTCCAGGTTTTGGAGGCTTGCTTACTGCGGCTGTTTTGTGTTTAAAATGTAATATGTTTGACCCAAATTCATATCTTTTAATTTAGTTTTAGTTTTAGTTATTGTTATTGTTGTGTTTGCATTTTGCTTTCCTGGAATGCTGTAGACGAGCGAGGGAGAGACGCGCTAAGAGTGCTTAAAGTGCTTAATGGAAATTTTATTTTACCCATTTACTGATTATGTCCTGCAAGAGAGAAGAGCAAGGAGAGCGTAATGAAATTCTTTAACGATAAGATTGTCAATTCATCAAAAAATTCAGTTCAGCATTCTGCTCACTCACCTTCACGTCGTTCATTTCCTCGTCAGAGGACGAGTGCGAGAGTCCATTGTAGGTCTTGAATGTGACATTCTTCATGAAGGACTTCAACAAACTCGCGCTCAGCTGTCCAAATTTATATGGTACCACGGGATCATAGTCGCCATGTGCCTGGAATATGGGTACATCATCGCTGCTCACTTTGGCATCAGGAAACTGCTTGTGCAGTGGCAGCCAACACGACAGAGCCACTACGCCAGCCAAAGGCTGTTCGTAGGTCAGTGCCGAGTAAAGAGCCAAGGCGCCGCCTTGTGAGAAGCCGCCAATCACGATGCGATTGGCTGGTATGCCAGCGCTAACCTCCTTATTGATCATGCCATGGATATCATCGCGAGCAGCGCGTATACCTGGCTCATCCTCTGGCCCACCGATATCCAGCGTCTTCAAATCAAACCACGACGGCATACGGAACCCGGCATTCAGTGACACAGGCTGTGTCGGTGCCGTTGGACAGATGACCTTCATGAAGGGTGGTCGCACTGCAGCCAAAGCGCTACTCCAGCCATGTCTGCAATAAAACAAACAAATAAGCATAGCCCAAGGCAATCAATCGGCCATACATACCCAGTGTCTCCCAAGCCGTGCATGAATATGAGCTGCATATACACATATACAAATATACAGGTGACTGGAAATTAGAAACCAAATCGAAATCATGCTCTTTCGCACTTACCGTCGCCGTCTGCTTGACCGTGGCCTCCACAATTACCGGGGCTGCCATGACGAAGGTTTAGCCTCTTTCGTTTTTCGTAATTTCCCAGAGGTATGTAGGTACCAGGTACGCTAGAATTACGGCGATAACAATAGCAACAATGAATACTTGTTAGTTTCTATGCGTATACAAGTTCAAATGAATTTTTGTTATGTCATTTCAACATTAAAAAAAAATCCAAAGCAAATTAGTAATATTGATTTTACAATTGCAAGGTTCTGCAGAGCCGGTCGAATATTGCAAATTAACTCAATTTAAAGTGCATTAATTCACAAGGATCTGCTGTAATTTATACTCCAACTGTCATTTACCAAAATTTGCTATTATTCTTTTTAGTCTGTATTATTTACTAGAGCACACAGAAAACTGATTTCAGCTGAGCTATTGGAAATATATACAGACTAATACGTATGCATATGATTTTGCGTTAGTGTGTGTACATGCGGTCTGAGTACTGACATTTGTATATATCGATTACAAATAGCTTTAGCAGCCCTCACTGTGCTGCACATATCGATACAAACTATACTATCGCTTTTTTTAAATATTCCATTAATAATAATCGGCGGGTTAATAGCAAAGAACTTTTCAGTGTGCTAATAGTTTCGAATAACTTCAGCTTCTTTTATTAAAGTGTCATACGTCTATGTTGAAATTAACGAAGGGAACGGATTTTGCTTGGAGACAACCAATTTGTTGTGCGCATAGGATATGTAACCTTTAATTTTGCCTTCGTATATGAGATTTGCAACGATGCAGTGCGTCTCATCCAAGGAAACATCAGTTACACCCACGAATTGAAGAGCCGATAGGAAATCACCCATATCCAATTGATGTGTTTTCCGGATGGCGAACACTTTTTTAAACAGATTACGATACACAATAAACTTAAGTTTCTCGACAAGCAGATAAATTCCGCTGCGAATCAGCACCAGCTCATGCTCGTGGACGATCTCGTCGAATTTCTTTACGTTGCCAGCTTTTAGGGCTAGCGCCAAATCGTGAAATAGCAATAAGTCGTACCGCTCCAGCATGGATTTTCGTGGTAGGTATCCAAGCAACATTTTTACCGGCACCAGGTATATGAGAATCAAGCGTTTGTTGCTTTTGAATCGATCTGGGCAGTAGGTGAATGCATACGATAGATCCTCTACAGCCATCCGATAGTTGGAATCAAACATCGCGCGCCGTCCGACAAAATATTTGTATGTGATCTGCTCCGGTAGAGGGAAGCTGTCCTTGAACGAGCAGTTATCAATTGCACGGATAAGCGGCTTGCACAGATGCAACTTATTTATTCGGAAATAAATCTTGAAAAGTTGATTAACCAGATTCATCATGCCCAGCCGTTTAGTGTCCTCTTCAGAAGCGCGTCCATCAGCAGCGCATACGCGGAAACAAGCCATCATGCAGTCAGCGGCCTTCTCTAGTATGTGGCCCGGCGTAAAGCCTCTGCAATGTTTCTCACATGCCTGAGCCAGGTAACGCAGATCGAGGCACACGCGATACATGAGAGGAAGGCACCAATTCTCGTCCTTCAATTGCTGTAATAGCTTCACCACAGCCGAGCAGCTAGCAGCCTGGTGATTGTAAGCTTCCATGTAGTTGGGCGGCTCTTGTGATAGATAATAGAGCACCTTAAGATGCGAGCCCACCACTTCATCCAAAGGTGGCTTAAGCATGCGCTCCACAAGCTTCTCGGGCTGAGATATGTATAAGTTGTGGTTCTGAACGTGAACGTCGCGCAGTGATAAAAATGTGCCCAAGTTTTCGCCATCATAATCCTCAGCAGCACGCAACACCCCGGAGATATAATTATTCGCAGATCCAAACATATTTCAATGCTAAATAACAGGTAAGCCACAAGATTATTAAACGCGATTTGTTGATAATTTTTACAGATGGCCGGCAAACATAACAGAGATGTGTTATGTGGGAATGCAAAATTATAGCTATCGATATATCACAACTATCGCCTAAAGCCAGTGTGTGCACATGAGGATTTATTGACATTTTCTTAAAAATAACCGCATTTTAAAAGAGAAATATTCGTTCATTGGCAGCCAAGCAATTACCAAACTCTGAAGGTCAAGATAGTATAAGCAGTTTTGGTTGCCAGAACGTTTCTAAATTTGAACACTGCATGTGCGTTTGCTTGTTTGTATTTTTATAAGCTGTCACTTTTATTAGTTTGTAGCAAAATTAATAGGGTTTTCTCTTCGCGTTTACTTTCGGTAAATGGAACATAAATACCGTTCAAAATAATTCAATATCTTCAGTTCTTCGAATAGAAATGTCCACTCCAAATTTCCTTTTGAGTAATGGCAAAAATATGCCAATGGTCGGCTTGGGCACATGGCGTGTAAGTATCATCCATCGTACTATTGAATAATCACAATAAAGCGGTAAAATATACGAGGCAATGCAACGCAGCCTGCGCGGCACTCAAGGTCAGTGTGAGAGCGAGCTTTGAAGAATGCGTATAATTGTGGTGGATATTGCCTGCATGTACACACATATGTATTTTATTATATGCATACGAAGAGCTTGGTTCTATTTTGAGCGCAATAGTTTACAAACGAAAACTATAATTCATAAATTTTTATAGCCGCCACAAAGAAACCGTTATTCACACATACATGCACGTATTGGAGAGAGAGTAGTCGAGCATGAAAAACGACAAATGAGCGGTCATCTGTCTCGCATTTTTGGATATCAGCTGCTTTGTCGTTCGTTAGTAATTCTCGAAGTAGAGAGAGAGGAGAGAATGAGAGAGAGCAAGCCGAACCAAATTGTTGTATTTATACTAAAAGTTCTCTTTTAAAATTCAATCTCTCGCAGAGCCCTCCTGAGGTTATCACACAAGCGGTGAAGGATGCTATTGATATTGGCTATCGCCACTTTGACTGCGCCCACATCTACGGAAATGAGGCACAAATTGGCACAGCGATTGCCGAAAAGCTCAAAGAGGGAGTCGTAACACGGTAGAGATATACAACACCATGAACAAAACAATATTATATTTTAATCATATTTATTATCCTACGCAGGGACGAGCTATTCATTACAAGTAAACTTTGGAATACCCATCACAAGCCAGATTTGGTGCGGACTGCTTGTGAAACAAGTATACGCAATCTTGGCGTTCATTATCTTGATCTATACCTCATGCATTGGCCAATGGCATATAAATCCGGCGACGTTCTTTATCCCACTTGTCCGGACACGGGCAAAGCAGTATTTGAGGATATTGACTTCGTGGACACCTGGAAGGCTATGGAGAACCTGGTCGATTTGGGCCTATGTCATGCCATTGGAGTCTCTAATTTTAATGAGCAACAGATTAATCGACTGTTGAGCGTAGCCAAATTGAAGCCAGTGGTGCTACAGATCGAATGTCATCCATATCTTCGCCAGAAGTCTTTGATAACACTTTGCTACGATAATGCCATTGCTGTCACTGCCTACAGCTCACTGGGATCGGCACACACACCCTATGAAAAGCCAGGTGCCTATCCCTTGTTGAAGCATCCTGTGATCCTGGAAATCGCGGAAAAGTATGGCCGTACACCGGCGCAGGTGCTGCTACGCTATCAGACTCAATCGGGCATTATTGTGATACCACGCTCTATTAGTAAGCATCACATGTACGAGAACTTTAAGAAGATATGGGACTTCGGTTTGGACAACGATGATTTACAAGCAATCGACGATCTCGATTGCAATGGTCGCTTCATGACCATGAAAGCTGCATATGGACATCCTCACCACCCGTTCGAACTGGATACCGCAAAGCAAATGGAAAGCCACAACAGAAATGTATAATTCGGATAGAACAAATCATAAGTGTACCTGGCCTTCTATGTCTGATTGAGAGCACTAAATTAGACTATTAAGTTTTTTGTGAAACAATGACATTTTTTAAACAAATAAATTCCAGATCTCTTTTGGTTTTCTAAACATGATTCTTTTTGCCTTAATATATATTTTCATAATGCTCTTTTTTATATAATATGCCTTAGTAATCGTTGCAATCTAAGGCATTAATCGATCATTGAAGTAGGAGCTTACGGAAAATTTGTCAGCTTTTAAATTTATTTGTGAATGATGCACAAATGCGCAAGATATACTATTCAATTAACTCAAGCCCGAATTCAAATCGCAATAAGAAGCTATACAAGCCCAGAATACTTCATGTGGTAAGGTAAACTAAACTAACTATAAGAAATGTTTTTAAGGGATCTGAAAATAGGCGCCAAGATGTTGCAGAAAATGTGCCTAAGGCAGTTTTCGCGGATGGAAAACAAAAACCCATTCCTGGAATTGGAACCTATGTGGGAAATGTATGTATATAAGCGAATTGCATTGTCAAGTTTTAGCAAAATAAACTGAAATATGATTAAACACGCACTGAGAGAAATCTGCACAACTTGTAAATGTTACAGTCTAATTCAAATTTACATTTCCATTCGATATCTATCGATATTGGTTAAAGATCACACATGGCATCGATGCTTTGAATGCAGGCCTCGAGCTTTTCGTAAGCTTGACAAAGCTTTCGCTTGGCCGCCGGCCAATGAGCATATATAAAAGCGGCAAACAGCTGTGCGATGGTGCTCAGTGTTATTTTAACCATTTATTTGTAAAGTAACCAGAAAATATACATATATTAAATAATATATTTATACAATCCTTTTTAAAATTAATTAAGCAACAAGAACCAATCGCAATGGCTAGCACAGTGCCCACCGTAAAGCTGAACAGTGGCCATAATATTCCCATACTAGGTCTTGGAACCTGGGGTGTAAGTACAGTTATAGTTATGTGTAGTTATAACTCGCTTAAATATGCATTTCAGACAATAACAATTTCTATTGCCCACGACTTCCTCCATTTTTTTTTTTTTTTGCGTATTGGCAAATTTAGAAAGAGAACGCAGAGAACTTGCATATGATAATTAGCCGGGAGCGGCATTTGCCGGCTGCGATATACATACATACACACATATGTATGTATTTATGTATAAATGTTTGTGTGTGGGTGCGAAAGTGTGCGCGAATTATAAATGCGAAAAGAGTCGATAATGAGACCTCCAGCTATGTTCTATTACTGACATCTATGTGAACTGAGTTATTTACACACTCTTACACCAAGGTGACCTCTTGTCTGATTAAATAACTAATGGAAAGTTTTCAAAAATGCGACGTCACAATTTGATAAATTATGTTGTACAACTGAAGTGTACTTATAAATCAGTAGACGCCGGAGGAAACCAAAACTGATAAAGGGCTTATCTAGACATTTCATTAAGTCTCTCTTCAACGCTCTTAATATAAAGTTTAATAACTATATTTGCTAGAGGTCGAATAGTCAAAAAATCCACTTCAACATTTAATTGTACTTTTGATTTTGTATTAATTAATCTTAATAATGTTTCTTAATAATGTAAAATTCAAATATAAGCTAATAAAACATACGCAGCCTAAGTTATCTTCTCCCATGAAATTTATTATTATAGACGTAATCTTAGATTGATTAGCAATCACCCTTAACCTTGAGCCCATTAGTCATAGTCAATTGTCAAATTTGATGTTGCTTTTAGAGTCCTCCTGGTCAAGTGGTTGAGGCTGTTAAGACGGCCATTGATGTTGGATATAGGCACATTGATTGCGCCTTTGTCTACCAAAATGAAGCTGAAGTCGGTGCTGGCATCGAAGCGAAGATCAAAGAAGGCGTGGTAAAGCGGTACGTACATTGATTGTATTATAAGCGCTATCTTCAAACTCTTCACATCCCAATTATTCTTACAGTGAGGATCTGTTTATTACAAGCAAGTTGTGGAACACCTTCCATCGTCCCGATGTGGTCAAAGCTGCTTGTCAGAAAACCTTGGATCTGCTGAAGCTGAAATATCTGGATCTGTACTTGATCCACTGGCCGATGGGCTATAAGGAGGGCTCTGAGCTGTTTCCAGTTGATGCAAATGGCAAAACTTTGTACTCGCCGGACGATTATGTTGACACCTGGAAGGCCATGGAGAAGCTGGTTGAGGAGGGTCTAGTTAAATCGATTGGCGTATCCAATTTCAATAAAAAGCAAATCGAACGCGTTTTGGCTGTTGCCAAAATTCCCCCAGCTACAAATCAGATTGAATGCCATCCCTACTTGACGCAGAAAAAACTTTCTGAATTCTGCAAAAAGAATAACATTACCATTACGGCATACAGCCCACTGGGCAGCCCAAATCGACCATGGGCCAAGGAAGGTGATCCGGTCATTCTAGAAGAGAAAAAGGTAAAATAGGCTTTGATAACTAAAGTTAAGCAAGGACTGATCCATTTCTAAAATCTTCTAGATCAAGGAAATTGCTGCTGCCAAAAATAAAACACCCGGACAGATTTTGATACGCTATCAGATTCAACGGAATCACATTGTTATACCCAAGTCGGTGACTAAGGAGCGTATTGAGTCCAATTTCAAAGTCTTTGATTTCGAGCTCACGCCCGAAGAGATCGAATTGATTGAAGGCTTCGAATGCAATGGGCGTTTGGTACCGCTGCTTAAGTAAGTATTTCATATTGCCATAGAAATATTTAAATCAGAATCTTGATCTGATTCTTTAGTAGTTGAATATTAAAGTGCCGAAACAGGTTGCAAAGAACCGTAACATTAAGGCATTGCGGTGGTATTGACAAAAACTTTTTCTCTTTAAATCAACTTTAATAATTAATATTAAAATCTTTTATTACGGTAGATGTTGATATTGATATATACCAGACTTTTTGGCTAAATAATTTAAGAAATTAACTGTTAAAGCAATTATATTTTGAGATTCGCATTCAGATTTTACAAGACTTGGCATACTTTTAGTCTAAAATCTATTGATTAGCTAAGGCTGAACTACTATTTTATTGTATTATATTTTTTTAATCACACATCTATGTATTTTTAGTTTATTTATTTATTGAAAACTTTGTTTAATTTTTATATCTGTGATTTGACTTGCTTATTTAGGGATGCTGGCGATCATGAACATTATCCATTTAGCGATGAATATTAAATCAAATCGCAGAGTTCTTTTAATCTATATAAATGAGAGACATAACCGAAATAGGAATAATCACGTAATCAAATAGTTAAGTAAATATTTCTGGTAACTCGAGAGGCATATACGTATGTTTAAACACTTTATTACGGCCTTTTTGTTTGTGCTTACTTTCTCGTTTTTCTTTAATTTTAATTTGTTGTTTACCAGATGTTAAAGCTATTTTTGTTTAACCCCAGTCCCAATTTGTATTACTTATTTGATTGGAATGCTATTAATTACACAACGGCAAATGAAATATATAGTAGATATTGTTTGTATATTAGAGTTTTCCTACTAACAACATGTTTATTTTTCGCTTAATTCGTTTAACAGTGTTAATCTCGTGTTACTTTTCCTATATATTTCATCATTTATTTTATTCTAATATGAAAAATTGTGCTTATTTTTACAGTCAACACGGTCATCCACACCATCCATTTGAGAAGGATGAATACTAATCCGGAATGAGATGATGAATGTCACACTTGGATACTTTTAAACCCTATATATATATATATATATCTCTATGTATACATAAATTGAAAATTAATAAATACGAATATGGCATAATTTTGAGTACTCTCAATCTGTTGATGGCAAATCAAATAAACAAGGCTTTGTCTTGGGGACACGCTCTTCATACTAGTGGTATTTGGTAATTGCAGCACATTTGACGTCTTGGCCAAAATACACATTTAATTTACGTACATCGTACACCCAAGAAAGTCTGACAGTCTATTTAATCTAAGCTCAAAGCAAATATTTTATACAGCTGTTTATTTCCTTTCTATCTAAAGTATGAGCTTCAGTATTAATAACTTTTTTTTTTGACATCGCTAGTGGAACAATAGAATTGCCAAATGTTTTGGCACAATGCGAAATTTGATTAACTGCAGAAAAGTAAATACCTAAATTATAGAAAAGACAACAAACTTCCATCTTCTGCTAAGGTATAAAAGCAGCTCAGCTGCCACTGAAGCCAACAGATGAAGTTGGGAGTTTAAGACACTGGTAGACAATGCGTATATCTTGTATTGCCCTTTTGGGCGCTTGCGTGGCACTCGCATACAGTGCTCATATCCCAACGGAAACGGCAGTAGGCACAGAAGCGGTGAAGCCACAGCCTGCCGCAGCTAACGTTCCGTGTTGTGAAAGTGTGCGGCAAACTCTATTGGAGATTCGGAAAGATATTCGGTTGTGGCTCTTGGATAGGTTATTCGGTAGATTGATTGTGGAGAACGACAAACTTGCAAACTGCTCAAATAATCGCATAACTTCGACAGGCGAAGAATCTGTACAACAGAATACAATTCAATTTGATTCGATTGTTAACGATATCAGAAACACTATTCCGCATAATCACAGAACTGCAGAGCGAAGTGATGCAAAAACGAGCAGCTCAGGCGATTCCATCGCTAAGGTGGTTTCTGAAGTCACTAATACTGAAAACACCCAGCATGGATTATCCATGACAACGACTACGACCACCTCTAAGAAGACGAGCTCTTTAGTTGAACCCGCCGAGAAAGAGATTTCTGGAAACAGTCAATCTGCATCCTCGACAACGACTGCCACAACCACCACCACTAAGAGAACTGACTCATCAGCTAAACCTGCCGTGAAAGTCGTTAACGGAAACAGCCAATCTGGATCCTCTGAGACAAAGACTACGACGACCACTACTAAGTCTGGATCTTCAGCGAAGCCTGTCGAGAAAGTGATTTCTGGAAACAGCCAATCTGGATCTTCTTCCACAACGACTACCACAACCATTGTCACAAAGAAAACTGGCTCATCAGCTGGACCTGCCGTG